GGCACCTTTTAATTATATATTAATAAGGCGCCACTCACCTCATTCTAAATTTCTCTTTTTTTTAACTCGGCGGCCATGGCCAACAGGCCTATATAAAGTCACACCTCAAACACTTCCAACAATTGGCCTTACTTTGCCCAAGTTAAGCTTCACTCAAAATTCATCTTCAATAATCCAAATTTTATATCCTAAGGGGGTATTTAATCCCTCCAGCAACACAAATCTTTCAACTTACCGTCAGTTTCCTTGAATTCTTTCTGGACGCGTCCGTGTGTTCTTTCTCTTTTCCGTTACGTGTTCGGGATAGCTTCTCTTTCTTCGTTAACATGATCCTGGTCATACCATCTGGAACATAATGTTTCTTTCCTTATTTGGATGTGAACTGCAACATACCGGTCTTTTTTCCATATCTTCAAATAGTGTACAGCAAGTCTTTAACCATTAGTTTACCTGTGAATGCTGCATATAATTCTTTCCTGACAGACTAATGGGAATGTTACGCATCATAGATAAGTCATTTCAAAACACTGAAAAAAGGTTTAAATCTTTCCACTAGTAGGCATGTGTACCTTTGCATTGACTTATGGAATTGAAATGTTTTAAAAATGTACATGACGGACACATTCATTTGAAATACACTTAAATGATAAAAATACCTTTAAATTCCTGTTTTGTCATGCTTGGAGCTATCACCTTAGAAAAGTCCCAGATGTATTTGACAACTTGTCGATTCTGTGCGGACTCCAACCTGCAACAAATGTTTTACTTTTATTATATAACCAGAAATATACATATGCCAATAACTATTACATATAATCTTCTTTAACGACTTCAGCATGAACTTATTAACTTATTTGAAGTAACTAAAAGAAGCAAGATTATTAGGTATAATTTCACTGCATAATTAAGACATATTCGTTTAGATTTGAGATATATTGGTGGTACAGTTTTCTGGTACAAAAATAACAAAAAGATATATATTTATGTGACTGTCTCATATAATTTCCCATTACAAAGATTCCTAAGACTTTATTTATGACTATTTTCTACTGAAACGGGATTCATGGAAGAGAAGTAATCGTGGTGGTATTAAGAAAATATTATTTTTGCCAAAATTGCGTAACAGTCTTTTTCGGATGTACCTCCAATTTTATCAGAAAAACTTGAGGCACACAAAACTTTGCGACTCGTTCATTGATTATGGAGGTAAAATGAACACTAAAAATGCGATAAGATTTTAAAACAAGCCTATCTATTCATCCCAATAAAAAGTACTGTAATAAAAGTATAAGTGAAACAAAGATAAATTACATATGACTTTTGATAGTTTTGATTAACTTTTATCAGCGACAAACCTATAGGGGTTTAAAAAGAGATAAATAATTATATAGGTTACATACTCGGTCTCACAGACGCAAAGATACACATATCAACAGAAATAGTGCTTACAATGCCACAGCGTTTTCCTGGTGTAAGTCGACTCCAAACAAATGGTTGTCAAGTATGGTAAAAATGATATTTTCGAATTATTTAAATGATTGTAACAGAATGAACATATCGTCCTTTCCAAAATGATCACTGCACACTACGATACTTACGTGAACATAGGCTCCATAGTCCACCCTTTCTCAGTTTCAGCATGGTCGATCGCTGCCTTCAATGCTGCCTAAGGAAGAAAATTGATAAAATATAGTTAACAGACAATAGAAAGAATCAATATTGGTGATTTTATCTGTGAGATAAATCTATCGAAACTTGATATTGTCTTATGAGAAACGCATCGATTACTGTAAATCGTGAAATTAATGCGATTGCTGAACCCAAGCTATTTAAAATAGATACACCTGGCCATTTAAAAAAAATTAAAAAATTACAATAAAATACAGTTGCATCCCACATCCACCTCTGTGGACACACCACAACATACCTACCTCACTCAGATACCTCCATGCACAAATTTACGTAACGTTCACACACACACACACTCAAGACATAATTACTTTCATACTTGCATACCGGGGTACATACGAAACTCATACGCATTTACCATTCTGGACACAAACACAACGTTCACGCATACAAACACTTTCTCATCCAAACACACTCATCCAACATACAAAAACACTCTATGCTCCATGTCTACAATATACCGTACCACAACAGTAACAGGTCCATGCGTTGGTTTACAACTTGATTGTAAACAAAGTGGTGTTTTATCATTACACTAGTGCAATCTCCCCCATGCCAAATATTATTTTAGATAAAGAAAGTGAATGCTTTCAAGCCGAAAGTATCTGAATTGAACCTTAATCCGCTTATTAGTGCCGAGTACTTCGGGAAAACAATCGTTATGGTGTTTTTCTTCCCAATAACAACACATAGTTTATGTTGATTGCCCTCGTTTAACGAGCTGTATAATCTCGGTCGCTAAACACGGTTTTCCACATATCCGCCGTTTTGATGTTTTGCTGGGATCTTACCCTTATGTTTGTACTGACTTTGCTGGATTTGGTCGAAGTTTGTGTTGGTTCCTGGACCCTGTTGTCCAAACGTGTAACTTTTGCAGTTAGGGCGGTAACCTGGAAATACAAATATAGTGAAAATTGACGGTGAAACGTATCATGGTATGCCCTACTAGTTCACTTACTGTTATATCGCATGATCCAACACTGGCTGGATGCAATTTTTAAAATCAATGTTTCCTTGTAATGACACGTAAATATATATTTAACTATAATTTTCCCCTTGAAACACGATAAATCATATCGAGAATGCATTTTAAACTGAATACAGTGTTGACTATCATCACTTACCTGTGTATTCTTTTCAGTAAGTTTGCTCTTGAGGTCTCTAACCTCGCTGTTTAAGTTTCCAATTTCCTTTTTTAGGTCGCCGACTTCGCCCTTCAAATCTGTAATGGCCCTGTGAAGTCGTCCTTCCATGACCCTCATGAGTTGGAGAAATTCCGCATAGGGGATTGACTTTCCTGTAATTAAGAGAAACATTAAATACTTACATAGCACCTGGATGACCGTTTTACGTTCTGGGAAAAATTCAAGTGCAACCTTCTCCAAAATATGCACTCAAATATCAAATTCAAAATATATTCGAGCCAAACAGAACTACCCCTCCTTGATATTCTTATTAAAAAGAGTAAGCTAATTTTGCCATCAACTGCAATCTGAAGTGTTATAAGCACTAGGTTGCAGTCATCTGAAATCCCGCTGGAATATAAGACAAGCCTCAGCGGCAAACATAAAAAGGATAGTTACATTAAATGATCTTGTTGCTGGTCGAATGTAATTGGTGTTGACGAATGAGTGTTTGAATATCATTAGCTAGGGCATTTTAATGTCGATTAAGCAATCCTTATCAATAATGGAGATGTTCCTCCTGTGTCATTCCGCGTATCTTGTGGCAGCTAAAGATGTGCCAAAATCATATAAATGTATGATTATTCATACAATGCGAAAAATCATTTCATACGTTGTGTGACATACCTTGTCTCATACGAGGAGTCTCAGCTTGAATTGCAGCTTGTTTCTCTGAAACATTAATTTGTTTATCAGATGCCGTATGAGTGCTATTTTCTAAGCAAATTGCAGACACATCGATGCACTACATACCATTGATCGCCGATGGATACGGATTTCATTTATCTTTATGAATATCCATTTAGATGTTGAAAATAACTGCGTGTCTAAGCATACCTACGATAATCTCTGATTGAAATGAAAGCAAATTACATGTTAAACTACACGAATGTGACAAGAAAATTCATGAACCTGCTCATAGAATTGTGTTTGATGAAAATACATACTACAGCTTGAGGCTCTTCTCAGTAAGTCCTGACCGTCATCTTCTCCATCTGCATAGAAAAGTACAATTTAAGAAATGGGCTTGGGTTGATGAAAATATATGAATCAGTTATCTTGAACGTGCTTTATTGCTCGAACATAATAGTTTTTAGACTGCATACATTTGCAAAGTTTATATACATTTTGCCATGCACAATAATTTACAGTTCATGTTTTTCTTTGATGATTGAGCCCTGGACATTTAAAAAGGTAAAGAAATTCATCTGCGACTGCAGGCGAGTCACAAACGTTATACTTTTTTTGCTTCACGTGGACTGCTAAAGCTAACGGTCAGTCCTACTTGTCGTAATTACAGACAGATATTTTATTACAGTCTCACCTCATATTTACAATATAAAATCTATTTAAAACAATTATGTATGAACAACCCATTACAGGTTATGAGAGACACTTTCTGCAATCACAGACACATTTCAACAGTTCAACCTGGCCACTAATTAGGAACCATTATTGTAAAGTTCGGTAAGAAATACCTGAAAAGTCGTAAACTCTTGTCATAGGTGTAGATGAGGCAACTGGACCGCTTCCTAATCTATTCTTTTTTCCATTTTCTTCCCTTTGTCTCAAGATTTTGTTCTTGCGCTTGACTGGACTCTACGATGAGACCAAATACAAAATTAAAATGTTTCCACAATATGGTTATGCGGTAAAACTTGAATTCGTCAAACACTTGTTTTCGACACTAGCAGCAGATGATGTAAACGGGTGATATAAGTGTTAACACATTTAGTAAAACAATCCCTGACAATATGAATATTACATATATAACTGACAGATGTATAACAGATAGTGCACAATGTTCAAGTTTATAATATATTACAACACCGATTTCATTAACATTACTGAAATCAGACCACTTTGACAATGAATCGTTAATTGATTCAAGAAAGGTATAGACTGGCAGAAACTGAAGCAAAGCGATAGTGGCATGTAGAGCTATGTCTCGTCAGGCCAATGAGGCCGCGTGATCTAAGGAGCGTGAACAACATGGATGCCGCGTTTCGGCCGTACCGAACAGTCAAGCTGCGATCTCGGAGCTGCTCGTCCGATTGAAACCAATTGCAAGCGGAGACAAAATTATCTCCCTTACCCAAACATGATCGTTGCTCAAATCTATATTGAGTAAATCATGAAATTAATGCGAGCATGACATGTATGCGAAAAATGCGACCGTCATTCCCTCTGATTATTTTTTTATGTTTCATTTCATCATGATAAAACAGTTAGTCACTTATAAGGTTACCAGGTTGAACATAAAAACGATCGTTAACAAAAACGACCAAATTTATTCTCTCATCACTCAGCCTAACAGTGATATAGCTGCACATAAAACGTTCAAGTGCGCTAAAGTATTACACATGGTGGGTGGAGGACCAGGGGCACTTTGAGTTTGACAGGTGCCATCAACTGGTCAAGTAACATCACGGTTTGTATATTCACGTTGATTGGACAGTCTAGGCTGGCGCCAACTAATCATGACGGCGTCTTCAGAACAGAACAGGACTTTATTTATTTAGTCTTCAGATCACTTGTTGTTACTTGAAAACTGATATGCATACAGATTTTATTGTTTATGATTTTTTTCCCATGACTTTTTTTCCTAACCTACTCTATGATTTTTTTCAATATTTTTGTCTCGTTCACCTTGGCGATATTCCTTTTGGGTCAACACTATGATGATACAATTCAGTTCATACAGACACACATTCAGTCTACTAATAAAACATTCATGTTACTCTATTACAAGAGGTCAGCGTATAGTTTCCTGGGACATGAAGAAACCGAAATAAATGATACAACATTACTTAACTGTCTCACCGTATTTCCTTTTTACAAAATGTTATTCATTTACATTAGAATATAGTTACTGCGTACATTATTGTAAGAGGAAAGATGTTAGACTTAGTATAGATATTTAGTTTTCGGTTCACCTTTTCCCTATTCTGTATCGTTATATTATTTCCGAATGAAATATTGTTTAAATCAAAAATTGTTAACTTCCCCGGATAATCAGTGAATAATCTATTCACTATTTCAATTAATACCTGGTAATTGGTGGCAAATTCCGACGATGTGTCACTCTTGTCCTCCTCGTCGATCTGGTATTCGGATCCTTAAATTGAACATGATAAATATTTTGTAAGTATATAATGCATTGCTTACCTTGAATCTAAAATGCGAATCAGTATTTTGCGATTGACTAGCATGTGTTTCAAACAATATGTAAGTGAAATGGGATTGCTTGGTTTTAGCGTGTTTGTAGGGATATGGTCACACATCTGAATACTTAGTTTGGTAGTTTGGGTAAGAAGCATAGTTAAGCCTTTGTCCTATCGAATGATGATAACTGTTCGGTTTTCTTATAACATAAAACGCAGGTAGAATAATTACAATTGAAGAGATACTGATTATAAATTCAGAGGAAAACATGTAGTTTGCATGGTGGAACTAGATTTAGTCAGAACAATCTACTCAAAATGCCAGCCAAATAGAGGAATGATGTTAATAAACTCTATTTCAAGAGCCTGAATTCATATTAATATAAATAATTCATATATCAATTATTTGTCTTAAGTTATTAAGAAAATATCCAAATGACAAATAACCCAAAATATTGTAGTAGGTGACTGTAGTAATTAATAATTACGTTTACGATTTGAGAGAAATAAACATACACGCCGTGGTTCCCGTGCACAAATGCCGATGTCATAGAGAATTGGCTAAGTTTCATTGCAAATAAATCGCACACGTATCACTACCCATCATAGAAAATAACAAACTCATGCGGCAGTAACGCGTGTTACCTATGCATATTGTCAAATCAGTGTGAAAGCGGCAGACAGTCAAATTAAGCGGCGCCATACTGTCTATGGTTATTCTCAATGTTTATCAATAAACATGTGGTAATGTCCTCTTTAAATTGGCGTTGAGTCATCGTTAGTCAAGCCTTGACAAGACATTTACAGTGATAACAGGTGTCAATCATTCCGCTAGACATTCCAAGGCGGCAATTATCTTTGATCTTGAACTAGGGCCCGGTATGTGCGACATGTTATTGACAATCTATACTTTTTTGTGGTTTCTGCCAAACCGTCATTGGGCATATACTATTCCAAATTAAAAAGGCTGTTTTTGATATTTTTACCAACGTTTTATAGTGCCATTTGTCAAACATGTGAACTGAGAACTGAGCCGCGCAAACAATCTCATCAAGTGTATAATATGTCCATGTTAAAAAGGGGATTCAAACTGTAGTTACAAATTGTTTAAACGAAATAACACATATGCAGCTTCTTAATAAAAGATAGTTAGAGTTTCCGTGGCACTGCATGTTTGCAGAATAAATTACTTTTCATAGGCGATACAAAATCAAAATCTTCAGTTTTATTGTGACACTGCTTGTAGATATCACAAATAATCTTTGTTTATCAACATTGTTGTATTGGAGGTTTTTTAATAGTCGTATACCCGGGTGTCGCATTGTGCAGTTTTAGCAATGTACGGGGATCAAAAATCTAATAGATAAGAACTAACGTTATACTATGTACATGCATACGGTAAAGCGATACGTTATTTTAGAACATATTTTAGAAATAATTGTCTTCTGTGTCAAAGGTTCTCACTATAACACTGCAGTTCACAACGAAGTGTGCTTTCTGCGACAGAGATAATAAAAGATGGTAGATGTAAATTGTTAGGTCCGTTCACAACTCTATATCGAACGTCTTATGTTAATAGAGTAGTCATTACATTTCTATATTCATGTATATGGCACTAAACGATTCCTTTACAATGTATGTATATTTGTCAGATATGAGCAATATCTCAGAAAGGGAAAACATTTCATAATCTTATGTGTGATGTTTTGCATAATATAATAATATCGAACGATAATGTATCTCCTCTATATTGTGATTTACACAGAAATAAACCGATGTCTTTACATAAATAAATATGTAGATATTTGGTCTTACCTGAGCTTTCTCCTGACTCTGACCAAATTCCATGCAGTGATGCCTCTTCCATTGCAAAAAGTCGATCCAAGATAATGAACAGCCTTTTTTCAACGCGTTTCAAACGTAACTGGCCATCAGACGTCTAAGTATATATGCATTTTGGATTTTTTAAACGGAAGTGAGAATTTGTATAATGTGGACGTCTCTGCCCAATACTAAAATGTTTTCACAATTCAGTTGAACGTTGAGTCGCAACGCACAGTTCATAAACGGCACCTTTCTTCTCACGATAAGATAATCTTATTGAAGGATTAACATATTGGCGCACATGTTTGGATCAGTGATTGTGATTTAAACAAAGCAGATTCTTCTAAAAACATCATGGTTTGCCTAGGTCACAGCCAGCAAAAGCGTTTACAAAATATAATATATTAGTTCAAATATTACTAATGAGGCCCTCTATTGTAGAAACGATCTTTGTTCTACGACAATCGTCAGTCGGTATGGGAAAACAAAATATTTGTTTATTTATTCAAATTTCATAGGCAATGTCATATGATTATAGACAAGGAAGATAAGAAAATAAATATAAAGAGTAGCCACTTTACATTTCAGTTAAATTTGCTCATGATTTGGTCTTTTCGTGGTAAATAGTGCCAAAATATAATATGCAGCTACCAGTAATTGTATCTACAATGATATAACTCAATCTGTTTTTCTCATCATTATTGCAGTGAATTGTCGTATGAAAGGCGTATGGCCTTTCTGAATAAAAACTGTTAAATTTAAACCAGACAAAACAGGTGAAAACTAGAATCTTTGAAAAGAGAAACAAGGGTAGTATTTTGATAGGGGTTTCACTGAAAAAATTAAGTTCACAGCGAAGCATTCTTGCTTAGTCTGTTCCTACAAATAGAACAGAAGGCTATAAGGACCAACCGTATTCCGTTATATATGTTGCTTCTGTTTCATCGTTTCATACATTGTCCTTTCATCATGCCGGGTTACTATCTTTAGATACAAAAAAATCACCCCAAAAAGCTATTTTTATTCATTAAAAACAACAACAAGGAAAAGATTTATTAAAGGTAACAGTAAGTGTTATCTGAAATATTTATATTCTATTATCCCCTTTATTTGGAGTGGGAGTGTCACATCATCATTCAACATCGGCTTCACAAATGGGATGTGCCCGACGGGTACAAACACAAAACAAGATATGGTAAATAATCTAACTGAATATTATGTAAAAACTAGAGGTGAGTTTTAAGATAATAAGTTAAGGATTACTTCAGATACTAAAATGAGTTGTTTCTTTCGTTTATTTAACGTCTGCTTCACAGAAAGTGAATTTTATTTAAAAAAGGTAAGTAAAAACTAAATGAATAAAATATAATGTTGTTTGTATAAAAGCACTGAAAGATGGCGTCAGTTTGGAATGAAGACTATTGCACACCATGGAATTAACTTCTCGCGCGTAACATATCACGTGACTGCTCGCTATGTCACGTGGTAGGTCATTGGTGCTATATGACACGTTCTCCTCAGCGGCAGAGTATACCCTGATTGGTATGCTTCAACAATCATCACATTCCTGTGTTTGCCCAGCTGCCTGCTCAAGTTGCCATTCATCGTAGATTAAGAAACTGGTCAAGTTTCTGGAGAGGGCCGGATTAACAACTGAATAAGTAAGTAATCATTTTACTTCTCCCATGTAGATGTTATGTTGCGTAGAAGATATTGATTAATGAAAGCTGAAAACAATGTCTTGTTTGACGATATGATGTAAATTAGATGGCAATGCGTTACATGTAAACAGCTTTTCTTTGCGATTTTTCAAACAGATTTAGAAGTTGCTTTCATACCATACGAAACTACTGTCTAAGTTGTCGAAAGTGAATGTGAGTCGAGAGTATGTTAATTTCTGAAATGTCTCAGTACAACTCCGGCTATACCACTCCCAGATAAAATATTTAATTAGTTTAGTGTCCTTGATACCATTTCACGACTGCGAGGTAGGTTTTTCATAACGAGAATACGACATTGGGTATGTCCGTAGTTGACGAGAACGTCTTTTGAACTATGATATATTAAAAATATCATAGTCGTACATAGACGGCACAATTTCACCAATAGCGAGAACCAATAAAGACTTATGCGTAAAATGTTATGATAAGATACACGTGAGGGTAATCGGAATTCAAAAGATGAATATGTTGACAATCTTCAGATAACCGTCACTTTAGAAAGTGTGAAATTCAAATATCATTCTTCCATAATGAAAGCTATCACTCTAGAAAGAGATAAAACTGCCAACCATTAATTGCCGACCTGAGCATTATGCCAAATCTTTTCTTCTTGATACAGGGAAATTATAAAACTGTAACTAGTTCGCAACCAGTTATTGTAGATCTTAACTTTACTGTAATTTCCATGCACTAAAACAGAATTGGATCCGTTGTGTTCATCAAGCATTCAGATATAAATCTTATACATGACCAGTTACATAACTAAACCCGAGTCTGAGGCGAGCATGCACTAGAGAAATATTGAACTGTAGAATGGGGTATTGATTATATTTCGAAAACTTACCGTTTTAATGTCTGTTAATTCGTTTAGGGTTCTGTTAGATAATAGAGTGACGCCTCTTGACTCGTTTTTAGTTATCTTACTACAAATAAATGTGAACGGTTCATATATGAATACAGTGTCAATATACTTCTTGTTCCAATAAGAGTGATGTTGGAAACACTATATACGACTCACTATGACAAATCCAATGACTATTTATCTATAAGTATTCTGGCAACTTCAACAATAGATCGTGTTATTTTGGAAACAAAACTACTTTGTTTTTAATTGAGAGAATATATAATTATGTGAACATAGTGAGAATTGCGTATGAACTCTTTGCTTTCAACGATGATAATATGAAAGGGGTGGGATTTTGTACAAGAACGCCACGAAACAAACGACAGTTGAAAGCAACAAACGCAGCATTAAAAACCTTTCATACCAGATTTATATGTGAAATTAAGCATTATTTCGCGGTCCATAACCAATTTAATTGCATTTCACACCGAAATATTAATTATTCATTATTTGTTAAGTCCACTTAGATTTGATGGTATAAATGTTCGAAGTATTTTACCGACTGATGTTATATTGATACTTTCGTA